AGTTTTTGCAGAATCTGTTGAAGGAAGAGATAAACTACATTTATTTTTACTATCTCTTTTCTTTGGTCTATATTTATAATATGGATATTTCTTTTTATGTTCTACGAGAGCCAAGTCAGCTTGTCTTTGGTATCGTAATTTAACTTCCTCAGATTCTTCTTTCCACATCTCCGCTACAGTTTTTGACGGGTGACGTTCATCGGATGCACTTCGTGCTCTAGACTTGATTTTGGCAAGTTCTTTGGATTTTTTTTTATGATAAATAATGAATGCATTTGGTGGTCTTGGAACATAGGATTTTGACGAGGTTAATGAACCACCGTTTAGTCGGCGTTTCCTTGAGTTCTAAAACAAAAAATAATTTTTAATTATTTTCATTTAAAAAAAATTCCAAAAAAAAAACAGAATTAAAAATACACACAAATATATAATTAATAATTACCCCTTGATATCCTTCTGGTGCCCATAAAAGTTGTTGACCTTTACTATGATCAAAGGTTATCTCTAATAGTCCGCCGTTAACAGTGGGGAGTGGCGAAGATGTAGGATTATCAACAGAAGAACATTGTTGATTTTTTCGAATATTTAGTTGATATTTTGACGTGTTAGGCACTTTCTGCCTTGTATCTGGAGACTTTTGATTAGTAGTAATTAATTGAGACGATTTATCGATTCTAGAGAATTTCGAAGCAGAGTCTGGTAAAAAATGTTGTTCAGGATTCGCCACGTTTCCTTGGTCAGCTCTGCAGGCACGCGACCCTTTTTGTTTAATTTCCATAGCAGAGATTGAAATGTAAAGAAAAAAAAAAAAAGAAAAAAGAAAAGAAAAACGAATAAAGAGAAATACACGGCACTACTCTAAAGACACACCGATACCGTCTAACTCGGTGATTAAAAAATTAGTAAAGGTGGGAATTAAGAGGTTGTTTTTAGAGAAAGTAAACGATCGATTTCTCGTTTCTGGGTTATGCGAAACCGCTTGCAATAAGATATGTTATCAAAATCCTCTGCATATATATAGAAGATTGAATATATATATATGTATAATATATATATATTTTATTTATTAATTAATATTATAAAAAAACCTTTCAATTCTATAATAAGTGTGTGTGATTATTGTGTATTTTTTTCACTTAATGTGAAATGGTGAGGGTATCACAATTAATTCCGATCCATATTATTTACGTACATTGATTTTTAAAAAAGCACCCCAAAATTAAACTAATCTTACGTACGTATTGAGAATTCCTTTTCCAGGTTAACATTTTGTACAGTAAACTAATTCCTCAGTAACTGAGTAGACTGCTAATCTTTGATTTAAATTGATTTTTTTTTCGGAAGCTATAAAAGAAAGTGCGTTAATTTACCCATTTTATCGTTTGTACTATTACTAGACCCAAGATACCTTCTGCAAACTTAGTAGTTTCTTGTCGGCTATGTAAGTAAATTCCTGCGGTGA